ATCCCCAATTGATTCGGATAAACGACGCTCTACTGTATATACATTACGAGCAATCGAATTTTCTATTTTGAAATTAGAAACTATGAACTGATTTGTTAAGGAAGTTCATTTGGGGCAAATTGTCGCTAAGACTGATACATCAGAAGAGAAAGAAAAGACCTTTCTGTTTGGTTTTTGGTGAGGGTTTGGTCTCACGAGTTATGTACAGATCTAAATCCATATTATGTTTGTCACAACTATGACTCTGAAGATAATATGTAAAGATTCCAGTTACTTGTCTTTCGCAGAATAAATAATAGTAAATTAGTATCTATTTTCTTTATAGAATTGGCAAGAATAAATGTCATATTACGCATAATTTAACATAACCAAAATAAACTCAGGAAATGTAAGAACTTAGACTACATATGTTCTGTGACAATATACCCCTTACTCTGTAAAACAACCCCGTCTAGGTATGTTGTCACAGTTTAACACAGTTTTTTAAAATAATTAATAACTATGACGAAAAATTATTGAATGTTCATATATTTATTATAAACCAAATCAAAAGATATGTACCGTGTTTCCCCGAAAATAAGACATCCGCAGAAAATAAAACCTAGCACAGATTTTGCTGAATTGCGAAATATAAGACCTCCCCCTGAAAGTAAGACCTAGCGAAGTTTTTTTAGTTGTAACGGTCATGGACAGATGGTTGAAAGTGGCCGTTGGCTTTTTGAAAGTACAGCCACTGATTGGTCAGCAGACAATTACGCCACACGGCATGATTTGCATAAGACTATGGCTTGGGAATCACAGATTTGCATAACGTTACGGCTGGTGATGGCTAATTGGTCGGCCGGGAATCACGCCACATGACATTTGCATAGTGCTACGGTTCAGTAAGCACTAATTGGTCATCGAGTCCGATGTTGACGCTATAAAAAGGCGACAGTTCGACACACCGGATATACGTCACTCTCGTCTAAGTTCGACTTGGGAATTTTTTTGTTCAATAATAAATGTGAATTCTTCCTGGAAAAAAATAAGACATTCCCTGAAAATAAGACCTAGCGCATTTTTCAGAGCAAAAATTAATATAAGACACTGTCTTATTTTCGGGGAAACACGGTAGGTGTATACATTTTCACTTAAACCTAAATAAATTGATATTATAGACCCTAAAACTAGAAATTGTGACAACTAGCCCCGGTCTACCCTACTCTTTTTTAGGTTAGAAGGATCATCGTAAAATCGAAATTTTTATCTAATTTTATACTGACACGAGAATATTACATTTTTGAATACATATTACTGATAAGGTAACACTTTTTTTTTTTTTTTTTACTCTTTCCGCCCTGTGGTCACTAAGAGGGCCTCTTATACAGGCCCATTATGGGTTCTGCTAGGCCCACAACAGGGCGGTCGAGTAGTAAGGTACGGACCACCCCCCGAAAAGTTTCTGGGGACCCGTCCGGATTCGATCTCGGGACTCCAGAGAGGTGGGCTGCCACCTTGACCGCTCGGCCACCCGGCCTACGTTAAGGTAACAATGATAATCTATAGTTCAGCTACTCCAGAGCTAGATTTGCTGTGTTATTGGACAAAGGCACTTTTGAAAGCTGCTTTCCAGTAGCGTAGACTCACTGATCATAATGTTTACCATATCTACAGCAGCCGGTAGAATGATATTTTGTGTGATGGTAGTTTGCGATTCTATGTGTTACCTTGATTCCATGTGCCACCTTTATAACTGATTTAATAATTTGCACTTATCACATTGATATGAAAGTGGAAGTAAAATTATGAAAATTTTATATTTCGTGGCTCCCCTGTGAGGAAGCCGCGGCTCCCTAGGGCGCTGCGGCGCACAGTTTGGGAACCGCTAGTGTAATTCACTACTCTTCCATTTTAGATCTTAGACGCCGTTCTTCTTAGTTGACAGTAGTCTGTGTCTCTAGTGTTACGGCACCACCTCGAGTTAAATTTACAGTAAGATTTATATCGCAAGTTTAGTTTTCGGTATTTATTAAGCATTAATTCTATATTTAGTTTTTAATTAACTATGAATTGTGATTTAAAAAAGTGAAGAAAATCCGGAAAACTCCACTTAGCCAGTCCATTGGCCAGGCGTTAATTAACCCAAGAGCGGTTTTATCCACTCAGGTGGGTCCCCAGAGAGCAAATACAAGAATGATTGATTTTAGCACTTGCAATAAAAATTCTTCCAAAGTAGATGAATTAATAAACAGGACTATTCCGGTACCAGCCAGGGTTTTTCCCAAATCTTTCCATCTTATGGACACTAAGAGCACCATTTTTTTTTCTTATTTAGAAAGTTCATTATGGGCTAGGCCCAGAATGGGGCTACTGGATGGCAATGATTAGCTCAATATATCCGAATAGACCAACCTCAAAAAATTCCTCGGGTTTTTTGACTCGTTCGGATTTGATTTCGTGTCCTTTATGCATCTCGGTCATCTTTTTCCCTCATTTAATTAAGCTAAAATTAATTCACCATAATTATAAATACAACCCTTGTATAAAACCTTAAATAATTATTTCTACTTACAATTCTTTTTTATCTGTAGTAATAATTTTGTGTTCCATTCACTATTAATATATAAAATTAATTTAATTTTTAACTTTTACAATTGTAATTTAAAAGCGAGACAAGATTTTATGTAAATAAATAATTTCAATCGATATATAATTTTCTCTTCGCATTTTATTACATATGGTTTCCGCTGATATCAAATAGTTTGAATTCACTGAATAACTATTTAACTATTCGTAATTCACTGTACAATATTAAAGAATATTTAAGTCAACATTTCAAAATAAGAATGTCAAATGTAAACAAATAAATGGATGAGATACATCTATGAAGGTCAGTAAATAAATGTAATATCTTTACAATAATATTACAGACTTACATTTGATTCTTAGTCTATAGTCTCAGCAATTTACTATATTATTTTTATGTGTAAATCATTTAGGCTACGTTTATATAAATGAAGTTGTGTTATACTTTTAAACAGAAATGATAGCCGGAACTTCGTCTAACGTTAGAGACTATGGGAATAAACGTTTTAATAAATCCGTAAATTTAAAAGAAGAATTGTGTTTTCAATGTTTTCTCACTTCAGTTACATCAACAGCAAGGCTTTATGGTTTGACATTTTTCAATCCTTGCTCCTGTAAGATGAACAATGAGAGTTTTTCTTATAAAATTTATGCATTATTTATCGAATGTATTTATTGGATACATTTCTTCATTATAATACTTACGATAATCCCTTTGCTAGGCAATAGAAACCCGTGCAATGCTATGTTCTCTCTTGTCCAACATGATATCTTTGTTAAATTGATCATCGCTTGTGCGGCTTTCTCGTATGCTCTTGTATTTAGTATTACCAAAAGAATCAATTTAAATCCAAAATTAAAATTAAGAAAATCGTGTTATTTTTGTCGAGATGAACTCTTTACTGTTATTAATTATACAGGAATCATCATTACGATTTCCGCTATAATTATTATAATATGGAATCAAGTAATAACCATTGCCATCGTTTATCCGGCTTTGGAAGAAGGTAAATCTTATGAATACGAAGCTCTTTTCTGTTGCGTTGAAATTGGAATTTGGTTGAATTTAATTCTTGGAGGATTGTCTTACCTCTTTTACTTCCTTTTTGTGCTCGCAATTATATTGATGAAAGCATTTCAGAAAGTTTCAGAAGAATTATATCTGTTAAATCTGAACGATCCGAATTTACATCTAGAATTGGAAGAGATCATGGAGCAACATGATGAAATTTGGAATTACACCAATCAAATGAATGGTTCATTCAATTATATTATTACAATTTTATATTGCACTTTAATAATGGAAACGAGCCTACTATACTACACTGTTGCTTTTTCAGGAATGAAATTTGTATTCAGATTGTGTGTTTTTATAATGTGTTTTGCGGCATTATCTGTGTGCCTTCTAGTAGGATTCGTGTTATCTGCCTTCACGTCTTCTGTAAATAATTTACCGAAAATGAATAAATTAACATAATTTTAAACTTATTCTCGGTAAAATATATTTATTTATTTCTTTCAGATGCAAACATCTTTTCAAGAAATTCGAAGATTTGCCCAATGCAAACTGCAACTGGAACAGAAATTGAAAGTAAGACTTTATGAGACATTTAATTAAATTTAATGATATATAAATTATATTAAATTGATGTTTAGATATTGAATTTTATGAAGAGATTTGGAAAAGTTTTCTTATGTTTATCTGTGAATAATTATTTTAACATAACAAAGAAATTTCCAATTAAAGTAAGTAATTCAATTAACTTTTTAGTAAATACTGTATAGAAAGATAAGTTCAATTTGCATTATTCCTTTAAATATTTTCAGATGGCCAGTGCTCTTCATTCTGTATTTTCTGGACTTTTGAAACTAAGATCAAATGATAGGCCGAAAAGTAGCTGCAAATAATCGCATTTGAATTTAATTAAAATTACACCAATATAAATACAATATGGTCTAATTTATATATTAACTCCACTAAAATTGGTTTGTGTATAAGAAACAATATTTTAATTTAATTATATACTCTTAGATGTTTTTAGTCGTAGGATGATTTGATGGGAGAAGGCAGCGCAACACGAGGGAAATCTACCTCACGGGAATACTTTATATGATAAACTGATCCCTATTTAAGTCCATGAAAAAACATTTTTTAAAGTCCATCATAGGCTTGAATTTTGTCATGCTCTCATAATTTGATGGCGAGGGAGATGCATCAGTCTCTTCATACCAAAGCGATCTGTTTTGTTACATTAAAAATAATAATAAAAATAGTAACTAGATTAGGTAACTAAAGTAATTCAAAGATAATTAATATCATATTATTAATTTTATATATTATAAAATTATTTTTAATACATTATTTTATCATTTTAAAGAATTTAGTAAAATAAATATTAAAATAATATCTAATGTATATATATTTCAGATGGCGCTTTAGTAACAATGCCGTTTACATGAGACACGCTTTAAAAAATAATATATATCTTTTAATATAAATAAAATTTTTGATTTTGGATTTGAAGTCTCAAGATGATCTCAATTCAAACAAAGGTAAGTCGGAAAAACTATTTTGATTAATTTTAATAAATTAAAAGTTTAATTAAAACGAATATACAATGATTATTTCAGATATGTCTTCATTGTATCAGCAAATCTGCATTTTTTATCAGTAAAAGTATTTCAACAACTCCACGAATTGTAGTCACTGGATTAGGTCTTGTTTGCCCGCTAGGTGTTGGTGTCAAATATGCATGGCCTAGACTTTTAAATGGTGAATGTGGTGTTTCTATTCTACCTCAAGAAAAGTATCGAGGTATACCCTGTCAAGTTGCAGCATTTGTTCCAAAGGGATCAAATCCAGGGGAGTTTACCTATGAAAATTTTCAAAAGTCTGAAGTTAGAAGTATGTCTTTGGCCTCTATGTATGGTTTGACAGCTGCAAAAGAAGCTATTGAAGATGCTGGTTGGCAACCTACAAGTGAAAATGAAAAAAATTGTACAGGAGTAGCAATAGGAACAGGTGTGATTGATTTAGAAGAAGTAACAGATACAGGTTGCGGCCTCAGAGATAAAGGTTATCGTACAGTCAGCCCTCATTTTGTAACAAAAACTTTAGTTAATATTCCTGCTGGATATATCAGTATGAAATATGATTGTAGAGGTCCAAATCATGCTGTATCTACTGCATGTACAACTGGAGTCCATGCAATTGGAGATGCTTTTAATTTTCTTAGGAAAGGAGATGCTTCTGTAATGATTTGTGGTAGTACAGAAGCTGCAATAGGTCCGCTATCTATTGCAGCCTTTTCAAGAATGAGAGCATTATCTACAAACTTTAATTCTGAACCACAAAAATCATCTCGTCCGTTTGATAAGAAGCGTGATGGATTTGTTATGGGAGAGGGAGCTGGTGTTATAATTTTAGAAACTTTGGAGCATGCCAAAAAAAGAAATGCAAAAATTTATGCAGAAATATTAGGATATGGTTTATCTGGTGATGCTTATCATGTTACTGCACCCAGAGAAGATGGTGGTGGTGCATATCGTTGCATGAATGCAGCTATAAATGATACTCATATTGATAAAGAGTCTATATTTTATATTAATGCTCATGCAACTTCCACTCCTCAGGGAGACAATGCTGAAATCACAGCAATCAAAAGATTATTTGGCAATCATGCCGAAAAACTTGCTATATCTTCTACCAAAGGTGCCATTGGACATTTATTAGGAGCTGCAGGAAGTGTAGAAGCTATTTTTACCATTTTATCTTGCCACACAAGTACTGTTCCTCCAACTGTTAACCTAGAAGAACCAGAAGATCAGTTTAAAACTTTAAATTTTGTGCCAAATAAATCTCAGTCGTGGCCTCTAATGGAAAATTCTAAATGCAATCAAAGAATTGCTTTAACCAATTCTTTTGGTTTTGGTGGTACTAATGCATCATTGGTAATTAGTAATTTTATTTAATGAAAATATTAATATATTGTATATAGCCTGTAATTATGAATATAAATTATTTTTATTAGAAAATTTATTTGGTGTAAAACAATAATCTGTTCATTTAAAATGAAACAAACAGCATTGATTTAAATTAAAACTTTTACAAATTAATTCACAATTAGTAAAAAACTAATTTTATATAGAAATGTTTAAGCTCTGTACAGTTAAAATATAAATCAGTTTTATATTTAATGTAACTGTTCTTTTAAATTGCAAACTTTTTAAAATTTTATCAAGACTTCTACTTTTTCATGCAAAAAAATTAATTTATATTATCTATGTCATTGTCTTTCATACTGTACGTGCAGTACAGTACAATACCATAATGTTGACTATTTAAACAACTGTAACTTATTGTCAATGCCATTTAGAAAGCTCTTTAATTAAACAAAGCACCATATCACACGGTACAATGAAACATGTACTGTATATGAAATTTATTTCTCAATAAGGAAATAGAAAATTCCAGTAGGCCTAAATTTATCAAAAAACTGCTTTTAGTGACGAAATCACGTGGTTTTATCAACACGTGTTAAAAGCGATCCGAGCGCACTCTCGATTGTCGATTAAATTTTCGTTTGACATTTATAACTTCTAAAATCGTTTTGATCGATAATTCACGACCTAATTACTTTTACATAATTTATTTAAATATTCTTCATATTAATTCTACAGTTATTTTTAAACTAATTTATCGAACTGTATTTTGCTGTATTGTGCCAACCTAACAATGCAACAAAATAAGATTAGAAAAAAAAAATAATAATAATAAACCGCGTTACGTCTTTCCGGTGGGCGGTGCTATAAAATGTTGCACGATAGTCGGAAACCGTCCGGCGAGTTGCATAATATATAGCGGTAAAGTGAAAGATAAGTGCTTTTACAATAAAGTTGCCGCTGTTTCGCGTCTGTCCGAAACATTTCTCTCAGAGTTCCTACATCGGATTAACTTAAGGTATATTAAAANTTACGCTCTAACTAGGAAAATCTCTAAAGTAACGATTTTTAATAAAGTAGTTCAGGCGAAAATTATATTTGTTTCTATTCAGAAAAAATACTTGAAGATGGTGTGGAGGAAAACAAGAGAAGGAGAAACATATGAAAAAGTTAATCAAAGATTTCCCTTTCTCTTAGTCGCTATAGTTTGGTTAAAATTCGAAATGTGCATAAAATAATCTTTTTTGCAACGATTATAGTTACTTTTATATTAATTTTGCACTGCCGTCATTACGCCGATTAAACGGGCTAAAAATAGCTATGCGTAGTGGAATTACGCCACTGCTAGCAACACTGAAGCGTATTGTACCCTGCTACTACCGAGTAATAAGAGAATTGCAAGCAATTTGGTTTGGTTTATTTGTTTACACGTGGCGATCTGTCTAGGGGGGGGTGTCTACGGGAAACTGAATCATATTACGTTAGATAACGAGAAGATAACCCGGAAAATCCACCTCACCAGCTTGTTAGCCAAGCACGAAAACACGAAAGTTCGTGCCTGGCAAGTGAATTTATTAGCCCAGTGTAATTGGTACTCGCTGTGTGTGTGTGTGTGGGTGTGCGTAAACTCGTTCACTCTTTCGCGAATTAAAATATTGGCGAGTATCTAGTAAACATGCATAATGTAAGTAAACCCTAGGTGCTTTATTTGTAAGAAACTCCCAATCAAATTCGGGCAATTTAGGTGTTTATAATAAAACACAGATAATGCAAAGACCATATTTAGTCTAAAAATAACTACAAAATTACATTTATCTTTATTACAGAATTTTAAAATATTTTATTAAGCTTCACTTCTTGTGCAATTAAATTAAAAACAAAATTTTACCGGACTGACTATTTGTGGTACCAATACTGGCACTACTGACACAGCAGAAAGTAAAATCAGACTGTTATTATGGATTATAGGATTTTCAATCCATAATAAATTTAATTATTCTCAATAAGTCTTTGATATTTTTATAATATTAATTTAATTACTATCTCCATTTTTCAAGTTTTAATTAAGTAATATGCTGTAAAATGATAGGAAAAATAAATCTTTAAAACAAATCAAAATCTTTATGTAGTGTCTTTAATAGATTTAAAGTACTGCATAAAAGTTTTCCTTCTAAAATATTATAGAAACTTTTAATACGTCGAAAGAAAATCTCGTTTAATTGACAGCATACTTCGATATATTCAGCTTTACTTAAGTTTTTCCTTTTTATCTTTGCTGCTGTTGACAAAACGAAGCTTAACATTAATCCTCAATAATGTTTACGAAGTTACATTTTCTATAATTAATTATTGTAGAGATTTTAACTTTATAAAAGCGAGTAAACTTTAAAATAATTACTTTTAGATTTTTACATTTTCTATAATTAATTATTGTAGAGATTTTAACTTTATAAAAGCGAGTAAACTTTAAAATAATTACTTTAAGATAATTGTTTTTTTTTTAATTTATATTTTAAACCAATAGGATCGTCCATAAATCACTTAAGGGACCAAGTATGACGTCACTAGTTTATGGGGGAAGGAAGATTCGTTTAGGGGGATGGGGAGGGAGTGTGAATCTTTGATGACGTAAAATCCCCACCCGTTGTTTATTTTTCATCACAAAAATGTCTGAAAATAATTCTTGTATATTTGTGGATAGTTTTAACTTCTGGTTTATGACATAGAAGCAAGGGGTACCTTGGTTTTTTGGTGACTGGTGATAATGGAGAAGGGATCGAAAAAAAGGGCAAATTTTTGCTGATGTAATACTTGAATGGCCCATAATGCTGTTTTTATACTTATAACTACCATTCCACCCCTCTGTAATGCATAGCAACGCCATCATACGTACCCCAAAATTACATAATGTGGTATGCTTGGTCAACCCTTGTTATTGTAATAAGGAATTGTATAGTATTTGGCATTACAATACAGTATTAATCACACATATAATGGGCAGATCAATGACAAACGTTACAGTTCATTATGCAACACTTCAGAAACAATTGTTCTGTTATCTAAACTTAATGCTATTTAACAAATAACCAGGACTATCAAGAGCTTGTATTGGGTCTAGTGGTAGACTGAGCCCTGAGCCCCTTTTGTCTTTGGGTCCCTTTTTTAGTCATATTTTTTTCTGTAATAAATGAAGTACATAAAATGTTTCTTTATTAATATAAAAGCAGACTTAAAGAGTTTTATTTTCTGTTAGCAAAAATAACATTATAATAACGATAAAGTAAATATTTATTTCTAAAAGCAGAATTCAATAGCTTTAATATTTTTTATGGCATAATTGAAGTTTTCTGTTCTTTGTTAGTTTTTGTAGTTTATTATAAAGAATGAATGAATAAAATTCCTTTTTTTTTCCTTTATAGTATCTTTTCATATTAAAAATATAACTGCTCGAAAGAATCCTGTAAATTAAGTTTTAAGAAATCCTTTATAAATTTTTAATAAGATTTACAAATACAAAACATTGTTCTCAACATAAAAATTTCAATCTAGAAACTATGTTGTTGAATGAATTATTAAACAATTCTACATTTGATCAAAATTAACTTCACATATTGTATAGGATTTACATTTTAAAATATGTTATTTACAAAAAATGCAAATGCTTTATTTGAAACCAATTAGATCAAAAAGAATTTGTATTTGATAGGCTCTGATTAAATTGATGCATAATGAATCTGATACCTGTTGTGATATGTTTTATGAAAAAATATATATTTAAATGAACTTTTCTGACTAAAAATATTAATAAGGTTGGCATGTATTTCATACTATGAATATAAAGTATTCGTTTGCAATATAGAAAAATCAAGCTTAGCTTATTTATGTATGTTCCTGATCATCTGAAAGATTGTCTAAACTGAGTGATGAAACTAGTAAGCAATAGGTTTGATAAAGCTTTTGTTTTTTGTTTTTTTTTTTTTAACTAGTTTCTAACTCTGGTTATCAAAGCTTCATGAGTAATACTTAAGATGATGCAATTCAACAAGCAATTTCATAAATTCATAATAAATTTAATATATATTTTGATCTTGGAAGAGAATAACCTATTCACATATAAACTAGAAGCTCATATTTATTATATTGAATATAAATTTGAAAATAATTTATATGCTTTTATTAAAAATATTTATTTTATTTCTAGACAGTCCATTTTACATATTTCCTAACTTATAACTTAAATTAAGCAATGAAGGAAATGTATTTTTTTATATCAGTCAGTTATTGATTAAGAGGGAAACTTTCATTTTGCACAACAAAAAGTATAGATTATAAAACAAAATGTCTTTCTTTATTTTAAGAAAATAAACGTAATAATCTGTACAAATAAAATATAATAATAACATGAGTACTTGTAATATATTCTGAAACTGTCTTCCTTTGTTTGAATAATTTATCACTACTAGGTTCTTATACAGACTTGGCAATTCTGTCATCAACTTTTATTTGTGAATTTTCTTATTTGCTGAGACACGTTTTCTAAATAAGAAAATTCCCGAATAAAAGTTGATGGCAGAATTGCCAAGTGTCTGTATAAGCACCTAGTAGTGATAGCTTATTACGAACATATTTGAATAATTTATGTATTTTTGTTTATTTTTATGTATGATTATACAATTTATTTAATTTAAAAGAACAAATATAATTGAACAACAAAAGTTCTTTTCTGGAAATGAGTATAGTTTTTATTTAATATTAAATAATTAAATATCTTTTTGTATATTTTTAATGATACCCAAAAAGATTACTAACATAATCAGGGAGGGGTTTAAGGGGTCTGTCTGGGCCCCTCCCTGATAATACCACAATCTAAGTTTATTAGTTGAATAACTTAATTGTGGACTTTTCCATATTTAGCATTTCTATTAACTTTTACATCTTCCATTATGAAGGGAGAGGCTCAGAGTGCCTGATAATAGTAATCTATATAAGTATTAAAAGCAACCAGAATTAGAATGTGTAGTAATTCATTCATATTAAATTTTAACTTGCACCTCCCTTTACACTAGATCCTGTAAACTATTAAAAAATGGCTTTAAAATAAACTAAATGTAATATAATAGTATTTTCGTGGAATGTCAGTCCTCAAGTTATAGTTCCTTAACTAATAAATTAATGAAACTATGATTAATCATAAAATTGAGAGAACTGAAATACAATTAATATACAGGCTTTTATTGGTTTCTAAGGATATATATCCTTAGAAACCAATAAAATCAATTAAGATGGATATTTATCTTAATTGTATTCCTGTATGATTCTTCTCTCAAGCAATTTTATGCTTACTCATAATGATTACAATGAGAACAAAAGGCAATCAAGTACAATTGAAGAAACTAGTTTTGATATCATTTTGGAAAATGGATAGATAAAACAATTACATTTTACATTCAGAAATAAAACAGTTTTAAGTGTATATTTAAAAATTTTTGAAAACTACATAAGGTATTATCATCATAAAGTAATAAAGAAGAAAACATAAGTGAATGGAATTGTTATTAACCATAAAGTTTTCATCACTTCTCAATTAAATATATTGAAAATTATACATGATCTATTTATAACACATTAACAATAAACATAATATACATGTTGTAAAAACTGATACTATTATAAAGCTTTGAAAATTTGTATATTAATATTCTTTATTTCATCATTTTTAGATTTATTCCAATTAAAGATAGACTTGTTTCAATAAAAAGTTATCAACATAAATTTAATTAAGTAAGAAATGAAATCTATATTCGTTAATCTTTAACTATTTCTGCTGATATCAAATATCATTGAGTCAACATGATATTGTCATGCATTTAATATATAATCTCTGGCAAACAGAAATGTTAAGGTCAAAGTTAAATAATAAATACATTTTTCAAGAAAAATTCTAACCTTAAATTAAAAATAAAATTTTATAAGATAAAAAATATTATTTGTAATTTTTATATTATTATTATATTTTTGTGTTTTAAGTTTAACAAATTTAAGACTCAAATTTTTATAAGTCATATTTTGTTATACTTCATTAACATTATAAAAATTAAGGCAAATATCTGTTCTGGCTTTAAAGTTGTATATATGTGATCTATACAAAACTCTCACAATGAAAATTAATTAGCTTAAATCTGGTTACTGTGTCAAGTATATGGAAGATGAATTAAATATTTTTCAATAAACTATTTAACTCATTCTTTGTTTAAGAGTGACACTTAACATTGGCAAAAATGTTTTTTGCCAACATTATTGAAGAATCCTAAGCTTCACTCTCTTAAATAAATGAGATCAGTTGTGAAATACTTGACAATTCTTCCAGTATACATTTAATTTTTAGTTATATTGAAAGAATGTTAAGTAGTAGTAAACATCAGTATATAAAATATAATAATAATCAAAGTAAATACTGTACTTTTTAAATATTTTCAATAATTCAAAAGAGCAGTTTCTTTTAATGTATTGAACAAACAGTCTGAAGAAAATAGGAAAGATATCTTCTCTCTCCCTGCAGTGGTTGATGTTTTATGTTTAAGTTATGGCAATGCAACACTTGGGTGATCTGCCTAGGGGATGCCTTCCGGAAGATCTTTTTAAGGGAAACTGGCCCCTATTTAGGTGCTAACAGACTTTGAGAAAACCTGGAAAACTCCACGTGGCTAGCCTGTCCAAGCGAGGTGGTTAACCCATGACCAAACTGCCAGTGTTCAGATTACAAAGACTGCTTGGTCAGTCTTTGTACCCTGAACACTGGCAGTTTGATCTATCTATATACATAACTATATTTGTCTATAGTAGAGATACAGAATTTTGTTTTACATTTTTATTTCTGATAAAACTTTTAGTAGTAACATGTTCATCTTTTACTTAAATTAAGTTTTACCAATATATTAAAAATATTTAACACTCTTGGATTTGGAAAAAACTTGTTAATTTTCAAATGAATTTTATATGTAATTAGCAGGTTGTTCATTTACACATGACAGATGGACCGGAAATTTTGTCCATTTTTAAATCAAGGTTTTACTGTAATATTTTTTTTTTCTTTAAAATTGTATATTGTGGTACTTCCAATTTCATTTTAGATTTTAATAATACTAAAATTTCAAATTACTGTAAATTATTTATTATTGTAATTATGTATAATATACTGATTTTTAATTCTGAACATTTGGAGATAAAAAGAATTTTATATATTATTTTTATTTATTATCATTAGGTTAAATAAACAAACAAACAATACATTTACCTAAAACCTATTAATTATTATTTTTAAATCCAAAAAAATTTTTATAAACCTCAGAATAATTTGGAATATAAATCTTATATAAATTATTGATTAGTAACTCAATAGATTTTTTTTAATTCAAATTTATGATATAATTTAAATGTATATTTGTTAAATTTCATTCAAAACATTTTGATTTTAAATAAAAGAAAAATAATTAATTATTGAGCTTTCTAAATTGAAAATTTTCTATGATAAAAGGATATTATTATGATAATTATAGGAAAAATTCTCAAAATTTATTATTTATAATGAAGTTAATGGCTATTTAAAACATTTTTCTTCAATTTTTAATTTGTATAAATATTTAACCATCTCTTCTTAAATCAAATATGGATTTTAAATATGTCAAAAATTTGGCATCTGTTCAGTAATCACCTTAATAGTGTTATAATAGCTTTAGATAGATACTTGTAAGCTGATAAGAATTAAGTTTTTAAAATCAAAGTTGAAATATATGAAAGTGTAGAAGTTCTGCATAAAAATTAATTTTAAAATTTATAATTATGGACACAATTGTAATTTAAATTTTAAAAAATGCAAACAAAAAAAGTTTAAATGATTAAAAAATTATTTAATTTTTTAATGTGCAGTCTTATCTATAAAATTTTTAAATTTAATTTTTCATTGTATAATTTAGATCAGTCATTCAATATGATTAGAATGAAAAATTACAATAAGATTTTAAAGTTTGATTCTGAAATTATTTTTTAATTAGAATAATTTTTAAAAAAATTCCGATTATTTTTGCGTCAAGTTTACAATGTACGGTACTTAATTTTGGAAAAAATTGTAAGGAAATCATTGATTTTTGTTTTTCTTGAATGCTGCCACATTGATCTACTTCCTTAGATATTGGATCATTGCCAGTAAACAATGAATAATATATATCCACTGACAAGGATGTCATTTTGACATTTTCAGCATTAATATATAAATTTCAGTAATATTTTAAAGATCGTTGACTGAGATTTTATATAAATAATAATCTGTTTTAATTGCTCATCTGAACAAGTATTTTAAATAATTTTTTAATATATTTCAATGATAAGTTTAATGTTTAAGTAAAAAAAAATTTTGTTAAGTATGATTTATGCTGTTTACTTTTACACACGAAATCAAATGTATATTTTTAGTCAGAAAAAATATATTTTTGTAATGCTTGTTTTTATATTACCTTTTTAATGTTGTTAATCATCATGAATTTTTACTATTTAATGTGGTGTTTCTCAGGTTTCTTTTGAATTAGATAAACAAATTTTTAGAATAATTACTAATTTTATTCTAATTTTTTAAATGTTTTCAAGCAAACATTAATTTTTTTTTTTTTAAAAAAAAGATTTCCTTCTGATTACATTTAATCTTAACAGTTTTATTTGATATAAGACTAGAGTGATTTTGGATTTTAAAATTATGAAAAAACATACTTTACTGAAGCAATTATTTAACAAATTTTTGTGCTAGAAAGGTATGAAAAGTGCCAGCCTCCTAGTGTTTTCTTGTCCTGAAGAAGTTCCATCCTAGACAATTAAAAGTTTGAAAGAGGTTAATTTTTAAAAGTACACAAAATTTAGCAACACATTGAAGAGAAATTAAAGGAATTTCTATAAGAAATTGAATTCTATAAACTTTTAAGACAAATTGTACATATATATATATATTAATTAAAAGACCTTGAAGTGATTTGAATTATTAATGTTTAAAAAGTTAAAATTGCTTTCTGTCTTTCATTTTATCTCAAAATTAATTAGAACTATATAATTATATAACAAATATATTTGGGTACATTGTTTAGTATCTTTACTTATAAATTTAATTATTTCTATGATTATAAACTTAGTTGATTATGGAAGTTACTGTGTTAAAGCTATAGAAGTTTTTAAATATTTTCTGTGTTGACCAGCATATTAAATTAAAATTCTGTATAATCCAAATAATAAAGAATTTTTAAATTTAAATCATACAAAATTTATATGAAATTTGAATTATTTTCTAATGTTTTCTATATTGTTTAGTTGGCAAAATGACCTCTCAAAAGCATAATCGCAATGAGGAGAGTATCTATCGGATCCCACCGTATTATTATTTACATGTTTTGGACCAGACATCAAATGTCACAAGAGTGGAAGTCGGTCCACAGACATATATTCGCAAGGAAAATGAAAGGTAAGAAAATTATTACAGCTTTGTTCAGGTTTGTTTAAACTTATCTCATAATACAAGTTATATATAAAATTAAATTGTATTATTACTCTCTACACCATATTAATTTTAAGCTGTAATTAATTGATTTGTCAAACAGTTTATTCTTAGAATTTTGAGCTTTATAAAATATTTTTTTTACTGATGATTTGAAATTTTCTTTTGCCAATGTATATTCTTTTTCTTCTCTACTATTCAATGTATATTTATTCCAATATACAATTATAAATCAAAAACTGTTTATTTTTAATACATTAAAATTATTATTATTTATTTTTATTAATGTTTTTTATTTACTTTTAAAAATAAATAAATCATGTAAATAATGAAATACAATAAAACTTCTGTAATTTGAAAGGTGCAGGAAAAAAAACTTCAAGCTTCAAGTTGGATAATTCAGATTAGAGAACAATACTGAAAAATGCCAATTTTGAGTAGATTAGATTAGATCTTTTGTATTTTATATAAAGAATCTTTGATAGCTTTTGTTTTAAACAGCCATTTAATGCCTTTTTTATCAAAATGTTCAATGTAACTAATGGAATCAGTTTTGCAGGTACAGTACATTGAGACAAAACAACAGGTCCTCTCACTTTGGGCTGGAATGTTTTCTGCAAATGGATGTTGGACAATATATACAACTAAATGTCTGAAAATTTCATGGAAATGGACAATTAGGAACACTTCAGACAGAATAAATAGTAAAATTCAAATCGGGATCAAGTCAAATATAAATCTAAACGGAACCAAATATTTCACAAGTTTCTAAAAAAGTTACAATAGAACACATGTAAATGTGACTGTAGAATATAAAAGATATAAAAATATAGAAATATAAAAAGACTTACTTCTGAAAAGAATACAATTGTAGGAGTGCACATTTACTGCAATAACAACAACCTAAACCAACTTTCACAAAGTTGCAAATGCAGGTTTTCGTTTTATTTTCTTCCCATAATTGTGGTGCCATCTAAAAATGTTCTTCTCTCTTCTAATTCCTGTATATTTTCATCTTATGAGTAGAAGACAGAACTGGAGTTAAAATGGATTCTAAGCAATCAATTCTGTTAAATTAATTAACAAGCATTGAACCTACTAATTAAAGTACCTTATAATAGAATATTACTTATATAATATAAGAGTATAAATCAGGGGTGGGCAAGCAAGAGTTCAGTGGGAGCTGAAATGTAGGTTTTGCAAAATGCATGGGAGCCGCAGTTCTGTACTTTTTTATTCTGTATCGCAGTTCTGTACCATGATTTTATTATATAATATAATAATATAAAACAAATATTGAATTTTTTAATAAACATATTTTCACAAAATTGTGGAAATAAAATTGTAAGAATAATAATAATAAAAAGCAGAAATTAACACTTTCAGCAAGAGCGCATGTAACTCAAAAAGAGCCGCATTTGTCCATGCCTGGTATAAATAAAACATGATTTTATTATCTTAGTTATTTTTTGATAATTTTAGGTAACACAATTTAGGAAAGTGACAAAATCAAGTTGCACGGTCTTAACCAAACAGTGACAGAACTGAGGGAGTGATATTTATGAGGGTGACAAAATGAGGGATGAGTGTAATCCAGTCTCTATGAAAAAATTTGATCATTTTATGAACTTTTTTTATTCTAAAGTTTAGTTTTGATGTTACAGGAACAGGAGTTTCTGTAACATTAAAACTAAACTTAACTTTTAATCCTTAACTTTTGGACAATTTCCTCCTCCTTTTTTTTTTTGTACATTATATTTTGATACCTTTGAGTTACTTTTGTTCAATAAAATTTGGATTTTTATACATTTTCAGCAACAATAAACCATTTTGAGATATTCTGCAGTGACTTCCTAGTGGTCTAGATTTTTCTAACATAAAAATCAATTCACTTTGTAAAAACTTACAGTAGAGGCCATCATAATACCAATTTGTTTTATGTATAATAGAAATAAATACTATAATTTTTAAATAAAATTTTATAATTAAATATTTTCAGAGTTATTTTGGGACCTGAAAAAATGATCATTGTTCCTCCAGGTCATTATTGTGTGATACAAAATCCTGTGATAAGAGACAATGATGGAATTATTCAATATGATCTATATGGTCAAAGTAAACTGCGACATGCTGACTTAGAAATAAGATTACAGCAAGATCCTTTTCCTTTATATCCTGGAGAAGTTTTGTTTCAGGTTAGAAGTTATTAAATATTCAATTTTTCTTTAAAATTCTTTTAAGTTTAAGTGCATATTANAACCCAACTGATAAGAATTTACTGGTATGTTTTTATGATAGTTCTGTATAGTTGACAGGAATTTTAAAAAATCCATTAAAATATTTGATATTTTTATTCCACTCTCCGATTTTATATTACTCACGGATTTCAATGTTATACCAGTGATATTACGATTTCGTATATCCAATTTTTAAGGGAATGCAGAAAAAAACGTGTAAAATTCTTGTATAATGTTAAAAAATAAACTGTTACATTGACAGCATTATTTACAACTAAATTTAATGAATGAGAGAGATGCACGAGGTACAGAAAATGCTCTAGAATTTATTTTCCTTAAATTTACAATTTATGTATCCGTTTGTCATAAAAATTTGTCTTTTCACTTTTTCCCGAGACTACAAATATTCAAGTACAAAGTAACCAGTTTTGACTTATTTCTACTTAAAAAGTAGTTAAATAATTAAGCGATTAGGAAATTGGGGACATAAACAAAACCCTGATGAAAGAGCCGAAATTTTACTTAAACAAATACTTAACCGAACCAATCTCTAGCCGAGTACAGTGGGGACCAACTTCTTCGTAATATTAGACATAATAAAGACAGAAATTTTTCCAGTTCAACGAGAGTGACCAAAAAGTTGTAAATTTTGAAAATTTTCGTGGACACTTGGTTCTAAAACAAATTAGTTAGAAAACAAATGACTATTAAGTTTAACATATTTAGATTTTTACAGCTATGGTGAGAAATGTTTAAAATGTACAACAACCCTGTCATGTCCTTTTGAGGTATACGAGTGATGCGACAAAAGAGGCATTTGACATTGACTGGTATTGGCATCCTCGGGATTTGGCAGCCCGCGTGCATGCACCTACCAGGACCATCTCTGATTTCCATCCATTAGTCACTCGTAGGGAGCTATTTGACTAAGTTTTGTTTTAAGATTTAAAAAGTATAGAATATTTTATGTTATTTTTATGTACGTTTCTTTACAAAGCTATATTTAATTATAATTTTCTTTAAAAGTATATTAATATAATTGAAGAATATTTTGTACCAGGTATGTACTGTACAGTACATCCATCACACATTTTATTTCACCAAGTAAGTTTTTATTATTTTATTTATAATTTTAGCCCTTATATCATGGCTAGCGATTCAGTATGTAATTGTGATATTAAAAATACGTTTAGAGAAGTCTACGGTTTTTACTGGCTTATTGAACAAACGATATGCTCTGACATGCAAGTAACTGATTACCCCTGGAAGTCGGCTTCTTACAGAAACACAGCTTCCNTCAGACTTTCTCAAATCTTTATAACTAAATATATAACTAATATATATACTAAGAAGAAGGATATAAAATAGGTGTTAGGAAGGTGGTGATGAAAGTATTTATGGTACCAGGGGTTTTTTCGTGAAAATCTTCGATCTTTCAGGTGGACGGATCACTCTAAGTTCGTTTTCCACTACTCTTCTTTGTTTCAAAGTTTATATCTCCAAAATCATTCACTTAATTCTCAATTACTATGTTGACGCTATGGTTTGTTCCTATTACTGTCGACAATCCCTGTCTTCCTTTTGTCCCACTAGACAACATTTCGGACCTTGCTCTTTCTATGTCTGTACACTATGAATGTGTGGTGATTTCTAATAGCTGTGAATGAATCAAAAAAGGGAGATAAGATTGACGAGAACATTTATTAGGTTACATACATCCGACTTGGATTTTACGCAAAAGGCATTTGCAATCGTGAACAATTGACAAAATAAAGTATACATTTATCAGATAATAGACAAAGACTCGGTTTGTAAACAATTCACCTTTTGTATATACAACTGACAAGGTTATCTTTCAAATTATAAATAGACTCGATCCCGAGCAGTCTTTTGCTGATCGGACATACAAAAAAAATGAACAGATGGTGCCTAACTTAAGTGTGGTTTACAATAACGAATATGATTAATCTTAACAGAACGCTCACCAAGAATGTCTACTTACTTCCCCAACTTGCCTTAGGGCTTTTCTCTTTCTATTGTTTTCTCGGTGTAGTTCCCCGAACTGCATCACCACCTGCAGGAAGGAAAGACCATTAGAAAGTTTGAGAAGAAAGATACAGAACAAAAGACTAACAAACTTAATACTATGCTTAACACTAAAACATATATATAAAATAATATACAAAATATGGCGTATCGCCACAATACAAACATCTTTCTGTTATCGTGAGGGACCACGTGGAAACTTCTTACATAGGAAAAGACTGAAGCATGTATTGTAAGTTCCTGAGGGTTTTTACTTGTATTCAAATTGTCAGTCACTCTTTTGAAACTTGCAACTAGTCAAGAATGCCAACTCAAACACTAACTTCAACCTGGGAATATCAAGATTTCCACTTGAAGTTATATAACTTCACCCATCTAATCGGGCACCAGACACTGTAACATCTCTCTTCTTTCATCATCATTTCCCTTCAAGCACTAGTGCAAAAGTGACCTTCCTTTGCCTCATATGCCCTCAAATAACCTTGTACTCATTATACTGATTATTCCAGGAAGTGACCCTCACCTCCAAGAAGGAAGAATTAAGGAGATTTGCAAGTTCTAGAAGAGAGAAAGAACAAAGAACAGAGAGAGAATATATGAAGAACAAAGACAAAAACAGACACACAGTGGACAATCTCAATATGAATAAAAATTACAAAATATTTTACATAACCAGTAGTTACTAAAATCCACTAAAAAATAAATTAGAAAATAATGTGTTATCTCTCTCTTATAATCTGAAATCTTATAAAATTTTTTTATTCATAAATTCAATTCATATTTCTTCACAAACAATGTCATTTGAAAGAGACTGTGCAGAAGTTAATTCATCACATGGATTAGCTTCTGCAAATGTCAGTTGGTAATGGGTGATTATGTTGTTGGACTAAGCCAATTTTATAGTAGTGAAAGAATATTTTAAAAAGTTTAAAACTGATAGTGTCATTTAATAGTCAATTTTAATAAATACAACAATAGTATTTTGTATGAGTAAATCACTATGTACATAATCAAGCAGAAAAATACCATAGTAAATTATTGTGAAGCAGAAAAATTTTGTTTCTAAGCATGAAAAAATTGTAGGAAAGATAGGTTTTACTTTTGTAACAGTTACTACAGAAAATGAGAATGGAGAAGTTTTTAAAAAAATGTATAAAACATAAATTGGCATAACCTGAACTGTTTTTACCTCTGAATGATGATAGAACTTTCAAGATAGATGATGGTATGGTCAGTTGTAAAGCATTCATTGGTCATGATTATTCTCAATTCCTTTATCTTTTATTAAATTTCAAACATGTATACAATAGTTTATTGATAATTTTTTTTACATGTAAATATTTATCTAAAGGTTTCCTAATAGAGTGATGTTTTTGCAGTTTGTTGTAAGCAGCAATGGTTCTAGCCATTTTTTGGGGTGTAATCAAACCCATATTATGGCACTCCTCTGAAGGGAATGCAGGTACCACTCCTCAGCAAAATATATCAGACTGAGAGATGTAATCAATCTGTATAAATTCTATTTACAATTGAGGGCAAGTAATATGTATATTGTGAGATATATATGAAAGGATTTTCATTAGCCTACTAAGGCAAACACCCAACAAGCTAAACACTTAGAAAATTTATTTACACCTGATATAACATTTACTAACATGTACTGTATAGGTTCAATAAAGGATGCCAACTCTAGGATGGTTTATCCAATGGTCATCCAAGACCCAATCGTTGGTGGAACAATTACAAAATATGATGGCATAATGAATCCATACAAAGATCAATGACACTTATTACAAAAATAATTTTAACCCTTAATACTAAACTTACTCTACGAAAGGAAGATTGCTAATTTTCGCCCATCTTCAAAGGTGGCAGATAGGTCAGAACAAAAGTATGCAGGTTATACTATGGTAAACGCACATGATAGTACAATGAACAGCGAGAGTAAGTACAATGATGATAAACGAAATTTATTATTCGATCCACATGGTGGTTTTCTTTACACAGGATTCTAACTTGGATCCCAACTATAACATACACACTTGTATATGAAATCACAATGAACATTAGTGTTAAAAAACAAAAGGGTGCACACTTGACAACAATGAGTGTTACAGTCAGACTTTCTCAAATCTTTATAACTAAATATAAAACTAACTTATATACTAAGAAGAAGGATATAAAATAGGTGTTAGGAAGGTGATGATGAAAATATTTATGGTACCAGGAGGTTTTTCATGAAAATCTTCGATCTTTCAGGTGGAGGGATCACTCTAAGTTCATTTTCCACTACTCTTCTTTGTTTCAAAGTTTATATCTCCAAAATCATTGACTTAATTCTCAATTACTATGTTGATGCTATGGTTTGTTCCTATTACTGTCGACAATCCCTGTCTTCCTTTTGTCCCACAAGACAACATTTCGGACCTTGCTCTTTCTATGTCTATCTACTATGAATGTGTGGTGATTTCTAATAGCTGTGAACGAATCAAAAAAGGGAGATAAGATTGACGAGAACATTTATTAAGTTACATACATCTGACTTAGATTTTACACAAAAGGCATCTACAATTGTGAACAATTGACAAAATAAAGTATACATTTATCAGATAATAGACAAAGACTCAGTTTGTAAACAATTTACCTTTTGTATATACAACTGACAAGGTTATCTTTCAAATTATAAACAGACTTGATCCCGAGCAGTCTTTCGCTGGTCGGACATACGAAAAAAATGAACAGTTGGTGCCTAACTTGAGCGCGAATATGATTAATCTTAACAGAATGCTCACCAAGATTGTCTACCTACTTCCCCAACTTGCCTTAGGGCTTTTCTCTTTCTATTGTTTTCTTGGTGTAGTTTCCTGAACTGCATCCCCATCTGCAGGAAGGAAAGACCGTTAGAAAGTTCCAGAAGAAAGATACAGAACAAAAGACTAACAAACTTAATATTATGCTTAACACTAAAACATATATACAAAATATGGCGTATTGCCACAATACGAACATCTTTCTGTTATCGTGAGGGGCCACATGGAAACTTCTTACATAGAAAAAGACTGAAGCATGTATTGTAAGTTCCTGAGGGTTTTTACTTGTATCCAAATTGTCAGTCACTCTTTTGAAACTTGCAACTAGTCAAGAATGCCAACTCAACCTGGGAATTTCAAGGTTTTCACTCAAAGTTATAACTTCACCCATCTAATCGGGCACCAGACACTGTAACATCTTTCTTCTTTCATCATCATTTCTCTTCAAGCACCAGTGCAAAAGTGACCTTCCTTTGCCTCAAATAACCTTTTACTCATTATACTGGTTATTCCAGGAAGTGACCCTCACCTCCAAGAAGGAAGAATTAAGGAGATTTGCTAGTTCTAGAAGGGAGAAAGAACAAAGACAAAAACAGACACACAGTGGACAATCTCAATATGAATAAAAATTACAAAATATTTTACATAATCAGTAGTTACTAAAATCCACTAAAAAATAAATTAGAAAATAATGTGTTATCTCTCTCTTATAATCTGAAATAAAAGGATTAATTAATGGAATTTAATTGTGGCACTCCTGTAATATAAGCCTACTGCCCACTCTACCTAAGTCTCAAACTGGTACTCACTGTAAACAATCAACATTACATGTGATTTTGTTACTTCATTTCTTGAATTCTTTTATGCTGCTGAAAAGAAAATTTATCTTTTTCTGCATTACTTTGCTGTAAGTAGGAATGGAACTTCACAATTTTGTATTCCTAATCTTACTCGCTATTTTGTCAGTGCAAATAATCAGGCAGCAGATCCATAAAAATGTCTTGGTTACATGTTTAAAACTTGGTAACTTGATTTATCATTCAGGAGTACTGTATATCAGAATTTTTTCTTTCTTTAAAAATAGTTTACAAAATTTAGAAGTCAAATGACATTTTTAAAATAGAGATATCTTTTGTATTCCACAAAACTTGGCACCATGGTTAACTTTTAAATTCTTAAATATCTACTTCTTATGGAAACCAAACATACATTTTTGGCTGTAAATTTGTATTAGAAATTAATGGAAAGTGAAGATAGCCTATTTAGGACCAAAAACATTTAATTTACAAAAAAGAAAGTCTTGGATTCCATAAAAAGTGGTTATTTAAGAATTTTAAAAAATCATTTGCTATTACATTTATATCTTAAAATTTTCTAAAATTTAATTATTTAATAAATTTTTAGGAAGTGAAACAATTACAAGTTGTTCCTGCAAACTGTGCTCTCAGAGTTCGAGCATTAAGAGATTTTGAAGATGGCAAAATAAAAAGAATTGCAGGAGACGAATGGCTGTTTGAGGGTCCAGGTATTTAAGTTCATATTTACTAGACGTATAGTCTCATAAATTTCCATTAAGCAATAAAAGTATTTGACTTACTTTGTATTGTTTGTCACACTGAATAAGCCAGAAGAAAAGACAGGAAAAACAAAATTAATATAAAACAGATGTAAATTTTTAAAATGTAAAATGTTATCACTTAAAAATAACTCTAAAAACATTGAGTCGTTATAGAAATAAGTTTTATTTCCTCAATATTTACTTTCTAAGTAAAAATTTAATTCTTGAAAATCATTTTAAATGTTAATCACCAGAATTGCTTTATTTTATAGGAACTTATATACCTCGTAAAGAAGTAGAAGTAGTCGAAAAAGTTAAAGCAACTGTAATCAAACCAAATCAAGCCTTAAAGTTACGAGCAAAGACCGAAATGATCGATCGTGATGGAGTAAAGCGTGTAATGGGAGAAGAATGGTTGATTAAAAAAATTGGTGCTTATTTACCAAGAGCACATGAAGAAATTGTTGATGTTGTCAATGCATATATTCTAACAGAAAAAGTAATCTTTATTTGGTTTTCAACTAAAATTTATATATATTAACCTTGCTTATGTACTGAAATTTGTATTTTCTTTAATATTAGGAAGCTGTTCATGTTCGTGCAATTAACACATTTGTTGACGATCTGGGCAACACTCGAAAGAATGGAGAAGAATGGCTAGTGAAAATGACAGATGTTGATACCTACATTCCAGGAGTTTATGAGAAGGTTGTAGGAGTAATACCTATTACGGCGCTTTCAAATCGTCAGTACTGTGTTATTCTAGATCCTGTAGATGAGAGCGGTAAGCCACAGCTCAGCCAGAAATTGTTGGTTAAGGTAAAGTATTTTAATTGTAACTTAAATTTGATCTATAGTAAGTTATGAAATTAAAAGTTTGATTTCGTATAAATTAAGTTATTCAGTTCATTGAGAGTTCAAATTCTTAAAATTTTCTATATTTATTATTTTATAATTATTTTATTACTAAAGTTTATAAGCATTTTTTTTATTATTTAAATCTAAAATTTTATTAGAAATTTATCATCTACTGATACAAAGTTACTTATGAAAAAATTCTTAATCTTCTCATTTTAATCTATATATATAAAAATGAATGTGTGTGTGTGTGTTGTGTGTCCTTCATGCATTACCACACCGTTTATCCGATTGCTGTGAAACTTTGGGAAGTTGTTTAATATACTCTGGCGAAGGTTTGTGGCATAGTACGATTGCCATGAAACTTCGGAAAGTTTTTTAATACACTCCCGCGAAGGTTTTTGGCATAGTACATTTATCCTACAATAGATGGCGCGCGTTTACACGAGCATTTGAGCACAGTGTGTTCGATCGATTTCAAATTGTGAAGACCATTTCCCCCTTCAAAAAATATCTCTCTATATGCATTTGTGAACTGTTATTTATGATATTTGTAATAATTTTTGTTTAATCACTTTATTTCAACTTTCTTTTTTGCTAATTATGTATTCGCTCAAACTTCATTAAAACCTCAACTGTACCCCGAACAACAATCGAAGTTGTAGGAAGAAATTCGCATATTTTACCGATCTAGGTATCCCCCCCTTTTCCAAATTTTAATATCGACTCGAAATAATAATGTAATAATAAGTTTTAATAAAAATTATAAAATGTAAATTGAATTTTGTCATAACGAGTTTGCTTAAATTTCCTTTCTTCTGAGATCACAGCAATGCACGACGGGTAAGCTAGTATTTTATATATCATGGCATAAATATACTTTTCCACAGTAAACTTAATGTAGAATTCTAGTTAAAGATTGATTTTAACCAAATATAGTTTTAAATTACCGAAATAACTTCTTAATTTTAAATAAAGTTAAGAAAATAGTTAGCAAGATTGTTAAATTCATTCCTCTGTTTTCATTTTTAAGATAGTATTAAACAAAATAAACATGCAAGTTATATTAAGATCTATTTCCCCACAGAATTTGATTTTTAGAGATTTTATGTTGATTTTATTGTTCTTTTATCATGTTTCCATAATATAAAAATTTGTCAGATAGAGCTAATATGATAAAGAAATAATTACTTTTTAGAAATAAGTTTTTACTTTATATTTCTGAAATCAATATTTTTAAATCAAAATTTAAAACTTTCTTCTATAACTATAGACAATTTTATTTAAAACAGGGAGATAAATCATTCTTTTTACATCCTGGTGAACATCTGGAAGCTGGTATTCAAGAAATATATGTGTTGAGTGATAATGAAGGGCTTGTTTTACGTGCAAAAGAAGCTTTCTTAGATACAAGCGTAACACCTGTAAGAAAGACTTTTTCCTCATTTATCAGTTTAATAATCATATTAACTATGAATGGGTAAAATTTTACAACTTTAAAAACTTCTTGTTTTAAAGGCAGTTCAGCGTCAGCCAGGAGATAGATGGATGATCAATGGTGCAGCAGAATATATACCTCCAAATGAAGTAGAAATTTTAGCTAAAAGAAATGCTATTCCTCTTGATGAAAATGAAGGAATATATGTTAGAAATATTAAAACTGGAAAGGTAAGAGGAAATTTTAAAAAATTCAGAAAAATGTATGTTTTATCATTATAGTAAAGTTAGTTGGCTAAAATTTTTTTCTTACAGCTATATTTTAATCTCAATAATAATAATGATAGAATGTACAGTTATTTATCCAGTTAATAGGATATTTATCATATGACTACAATATAATATGAATTAAGAGTCATGCAAGGCCATGAAGAGAAACCTTGAGCAGTTTCTCCCAGTGTGGTGGAGTCTGAAAACAAAAAATCCAACTTCAGGAAATTTGTGATGGGCGACTCCAACCTCAGTTTTTTTTTTTTTTTTTTTTTTTTTTTTTTTTAAATGTCACACTAAGATTTCATTTATAAGAAAGACATCACTATGTAGCTGACATTATCACTATTTTATCTAACATTGCTCTATAAAAAGTTTTTACTAAAATTGTGATGGTAAGAATCAAAAAATGTATATAACAAATTTACCTCAGAAAAACTTTTGAGTGCATAAAGAAACACACATCTTAATTAATTAATAGCCTAAAGAATTCCACTTTTATTAGTTAATTATGAAAAGTTTATTTTAAATTGTATTTAATTTTTCTTCTTTCAAATAATTAAATAAATACAAAAAATAACTATTTGATGACTGATGATATTAACCCATAAAGGTTGTTTCGCTATTATGGTTAATATTGTTTTAATATTTAAATTAATTGAAGTGTTCAATTTCTAAGAAATTTCTTTATATACTAATTAATTAAAAAGTGTATTTTTTTTACTTCACATTTTACAAATATCAATAGTTAACTTTGAGGTTGGAGTCGAAAGAAATTTACTGACTCCACAACACTTGTTTCTCCTCCTATTTTTGAATGTCCACCACTTCCTCTTGAAGCATATTAAGTGGACCAAAACATTTTGTACTAATTTTGAGATGCTCTAAGACTTCGTAGTTTAAACTGTGCTGCTGTCTTTCAAAATTCAGAATCCTTTTGATTGGATTTGATCCCATGAGAAGGGTTTCAGGGATATTTGGCAACTATGTCATCAACTAGTGCACTACTGGTTTACCTATACTCTCATGTACTTGTATTTAGTAAGTAGAAGAAGCAAGATATAACTTGGCACAATGTTTGCCTACATCCTGTATATACAGTGTCTATACATATATAATAGCAGAAACTCAAATGTCAGTCTTTCATATAAACATACTTATACATTTTTAAATTTTCTTTATTACACTACCAAATAAAATCTTTGTAATAATGCTAGTGGTAACTTTTAAAAAATAAAACAAAATAATCAGTAACATTATTAAAAATAAAAACTTGTGATGTCATGGATTAATGAGAACCACATTATATAAATAATACACCATGGATTATCACGTATTTCAAATATACGATAATGGTATTTATTTATTTCCAGTCAACTTAAATTACAGATCTCAAAACTGTCCATAATATTACACATTATCTTTTTAAAATACAGAATTTTAACCGTTTATTTCTCCTCGTTAACAATGCTCATAGATATAATTACACACAAGTCCCGAAACTGGCCAGTTCGCAATTCGTTTGAATCGTCTTAAATCGCTAATCAAAATTAACTTAAATTAAACTAAAACTAATGTTACTTAGGTTAAAGAAAGATTGTTAGAAGAGGATCCCTTTTCTTTGTCTAGCAAGTTGGGCAATTTGCAATGTCTGTCACAGTTAATTGAGAGGATACAACCTGACCACATGGACACCTTTCTATGAGACAAAATATCCATATACGAATCCTCCTTTATGTCTCAATAGCACCAGTTTTCTAACACAACTTCTCTGAATCTCTGTTGACCTGAGTCTTCCTCGGGTTCCTTCCTGGTCGTCTCACTCTTCACCTTTGTCAAAAAAGAAAAACCCTTTGAGCCCAAAACTCGCCAGAAAATGCACATAGGTTGGAAAAGTCAAACATGAATAGGGAAAATAGTGCATGTTAATTAGGTAGATGAAGAGATCACAGATAACTTAGAAGGTCAATTAATAAAACATTATATATATATGATACACCACAAACTAATTACAGACTTTTTTAATACTATTTTAATAAAACTAATTTAATACTTAAATAAGGAAATATATTATTTAGTGAGCTATTAATTAATTTAAAGTTTATATTATTTTTAACAAAACATTAAAATAGGTTCGTGCAGTCTGTGGAGAAACCTACATGATTAATCAAGATGAAGAACTTTGGGAAAAAGAGCTGTCACCAAATGTTGAATCACTTTTGTTGGCTCATTACGATCCGTTAGCCGATCGTGGACGGTGGTCAGATAAACATTCTGCTGCTTCTGCTTCCTCCAGAGATAAAACAAGAGTAATAACTTTTCGTGTGCCACATAATGCAGCAATTCAGATATATGATTATAAAGGGAAAAAAGCACGGTAAGTTGAAAATTTCATAATAATACAGCAAGCCATTATAATTAAGTTTTTATTCAATTTCTAAATTATTTCATATTTAAATTATGAATTAAATGTATTTCAATTTGTTTAGAATAATATACAGTACTGAATATATTACACAAAAATTGTTCATAATTTTTATATATTACGTTTTCAAAATAGTGTGGTTTTTGGTCCAGATTTGGTTATGTTAGGACCAGACGAACAGTTTACACAACTAAGTTTATCAGGTGGCAAGCCAAAANTGTTTAGAATAATATACAGTACTGAATATATTACACAAAAATTGTTCATAATTTTTATATATTACGTTTTCAAAATAGTGTGGTTTTTGGTCCAGATTTGGTTATGTTAGGACCAGACGAACAGTTTACACAACTAAGTTTATCAGGTGGCAAGCCAAAAAAGCCTAATGTGATTCGGTCTTTGTGCCTTCTTCTGGGACCAGATTTTTGTACTGATGTCATCACTGTTGAAACAGCTGACCATGCTCGCTTACAACTTCAGCTTGCATATAATTGGTAAAAATTTCAGATAATTGTATAAGAAAATTTGAATAGTTTTTTGATACTTTGATTTGATTTAAATTAAGAATATAATTGTTTTTAAATAATTGAAAATAATTTTATGTCAATAATTATTATGTTATTCATTATTTAGGCACTTTGATGTAAGCCAAAAGGATGAAGCGACAGCTTCTAAATTGTTTGCGGTTCCAGATTTTATTGGTGATCTTTGTAAAGCCGTAGCATCTCGCATTAGAGGAGCTGTAGCATCAACTAATTTCGACGACTTTCATAAGGTTAGTAATTATTGTTGATTCTCCATTTTAGTAATTTTGAGAATTCAATAACATTTTATGGAATTGTTAAACAGAATTCTGCTACAATCATCAGAGCTGCAGTTTTTGGCTATGATTCTGATAGAAAGATCAGAAATAGATTAATCTTTCCACAGAATAATTTAGTAATAACTAGTGTAGATATACAAAGTGTAGAACCTGTAGATCAGCGAACTAGGGATTCTCTTCAAAAATCAGTACAACTTGCAATTGAGATAACAACACAAAGTCAAGAAGCAGCTGCCAGGTAACATAAAAATGATGATAAAATGCTTAATTAAATGTATACTTTTTTGTTTATTAATATTTTACATACTTTATAGACATGAAGCAGAAAGAAGAGAACAGGAAGCCAGAGGAAAATTGGAAAGACAAAGAATTTCCGATGAAGTAGAATCTGAACGAAGTCGTAAGGATCTCTTAGAATTACAGGCAGCTAGCATGGCAGTAGAAAGCTGTGGACAGGCAAAGGCAGAAGCGAAAAGCAAAGCCGAAGCCCAGAGAATTGAAGCAGAAACAGCTGTTGAACAAGCTAAATTGAAAGTTGATGCTATGACAATTGAAGCAGTATGAAACTTTTATGTTCCTTTTAATAGTTTTTCATTTATTGTAATACAGTAGAGCCTCGATTATCCGACCCCCGATTAACCGCCACCTCGGTTAACTGACCGTCCTAGTCGGCAAATTTCAAATGTCCGCTAATGATGTGGCGCTACAATATTTGACTGTCTTGCTACTTTAATATTATTTTGACGTGTTTTAGCTGGCAACACTCATTCGACCATGAAAGGGAGCCAGTATTTAAACGAGGCTTAATTTTCTAATTTTTAACGATACAATAGCGACGATTATTATTTTAAAAAATTTTTGTTAGGCTTAACATCGATGAAAATTCAACGCGAAGTAGGTTAATAGCGATATACTAATATACTAATTTACTAATTACATGGGATATAATAATATACTACACTAATAATGGATTTTTTCATACTTTTCGGTTATCCAACTTTTCAATTATCCGACCAACCCCAGTCCCCAATTGGGTCGGATAATCGAGGCTCTACTGTAATCATAATAATAGAAAAAATCAAAATTAATACAGCAGTTGGTATCAGTAAGAGTTTTAATTCATTTTCTAATATATTAATATTAAAGTTTCCTTTTATTTCTATTACATCAGTTAGTTTTCAAACATTGCAACTGTTCATATTTTTTTGTAGTGAATAATTTTGACTTTAGATATTCTCCTACTATCTTATACTAGACAGGTTTGAATTAAACTTTAAGAAATGTTTTTAATGTATTTATAAATAATTATTTCAAATTGCTGTTGTTACATTTAAATATTTTCTTAAAAGGAAGCAGAATTGGAAAGATTGATGAAGGCCAGAGAAGCCGAAATCAGTTATCTTCGTGAACAAGATGAATTGCAGATTAAGAAATCAAAAGAATTGGCAGAAATAGATGTACAGAAATTCAAGGATATAATAAGTGCTCTTGGACCTGATACAATTCGTGCCATAGCTCTGGCAGGACCAGAACTACAGGTAAATTGATATGATATAAAATATTAGTTAATAATTCATAGTAGAGCTTAAAGTTTAAAATAGTTTATCATATAAAAGCAAATATCAAAATGATATTGCCAAAAAGTTGTTTCTTAATTACTTAATGCAATATTTATAAATATATAATAGACTTTCAAAGTAAGCTTAAAATTATAGTTAGTCTGTTCAGTCTGATCTCAAAATTTTGAAAAATTTATTAAAGTATAACAGTTACAATTATTACTTATTTTATAATTAAATATAATAGCATATACCATACTTAGAGCATTATACCAATGGAATGAAAGTTTTGTTCTCTAATTATTCTAAACAACTGAAATTAAACAAATTACAAATAAAAAGTATATTAATGTTTTAATTCTTTAACAATTGATTTCTGAACTGAACTAATATAGATTAAAATCTGACTATACCAAATTTAAATCCACAGAGCAGTTCAGAGAAAACCTTGTTTCTTCATCAATTTGAAATATTTTGATGATAATTTTTTTTCTCTCTATTCTTTCTGCCTTGTAGACACTAAAAAGACTTTATAACCATGCATACCGTGAGTTCGATCAGATCCACAATGATGCAGGCAGATGGGAAATAGGCTTGATAAATCCAGGCCAAATTGCCTTGATTTCTGAGACTCAGTATGGACTTAGACCTGAGTTTACCCCAGAGTGTCGTCAACATTTTTACTGTATCAATCATCAGGTCCTCGATGATTATGAACCAATGAAAAACAAAACCTGTTATTTTTATAATTTTATTATGAGATCATAAGCTGAATAAATCATGCAATTATTTGAAGTAATTTTAACATCATACATGTGTATTTCTTCAACTGCATGAACACCTAAATGTCCATACATTTCAGCTTTTCTAGTTCTTTACAATAAAATGAAATATTGAGTTTCTTGCAAATAAACTTATTATATATAAATCCAATCAATATATTATATAATAAATGGAAAATATTGTCATAAATTCATTTTATTTTCAGGTAAAAATTCTTCAAGGACTTGGACTTCATACAACTCTCATCACTGATGGAAATTGCCCCATAAATTTATTTAATACTGCACAAGGATTGATAGGAAATTCCTTATTGGAGCCACCCGCTAAAATGCAAAAGGTCGAATGATTTTTCAGTACGTAAATATAGTAATTCACCACCTCCTTAACAAGTTACTGAATATTTCTTTGTCTGCAGGAATAAGGAAACTCGCTAAGGCCAATATAAAATTGGATGATGACTGCCATTTTCATTCCTTAAAATAATTACTGTTACTTGTGTTAATGAAGGGAAGACTGTGTGAATTCAGGCTATTTGACATTAGTTTGTTGTTGAAACATGAGCATTCTATTTTTAATACTAATGATACAAATTGTTGTTTAAAATCAAATATATTTTTCCGATTTTGCAATTTCTGTAAAATTAAACAGCTTTTCAAGTTTGTCTACACACCATGCAAGAAAAATTGATGTACTTAGAACAAATAAAAATGTATGCAGATGTAGATTATTTACTTATCTAAATACATCTGCTATTAGAATANATTTGCCTCTAAACTTCCACAGTTGTTTCATCAAGCTGTTTACAATTATATTAAAAAAGGTTATTAATACAATTGTGTCTTCTTCCTATTTGGGCAGCAACAGCATGATAATTTTGTAATTGTAACATAAAACATCAATTTATCTTTGTTCCTTTAAGTTTTACACTTTTCCCCAAGTTTGACAATTTTTTTGTAAACAAATATATGTAAATCATTTTATACACCTACACATTCTTATTTATTTACATTTAGGTGAAAATTTGAAGTTATTTTTTTCAGGTATCTTTCAAGTTTTGTTAACTTAAATTAACTAATTTTCTACTTTTTGAAAGAAATATTCCAATACTTCTTTCATTATTCTGTAAATCTTATTATTTTACTTTTTTAAAGCATGACTGAACCAATAATTCTAATAAAATTAATTGTTTAGATGGTCTAATTAAAGACCATCTAAACAATTAATTTAAAAACTTTAAAGACTAGCAACTTAATTGTTGCTAGTCTTTAAAGTTTTGTCCAGCTCCGTACATGTGTAGGCATTCAACAAAATAGGCATTCACTCCAAATATTTGTTAAAATTTGTATAAAAATTATTGAAATAAGTTTGCATATCATATTCATATTTGTTAAATTAATAAAAACTTTTTGAAACTGGATTTAAAACAGCAAAGTTTTATTATACTTAAATATATATAAAAATGCATTTATACAAAATTTATGAAATAATTTATAAATGAAAAAATGAAAGAAACACATAAAAATATGAAAACATTCTTTTTATCATATTTTATTGTGAAGTTAATATAGGAAGGGTTGATTTTGAAAGTGGGGCAAGTTCATTTTGTGAAAAAAATAGTTTTTCTTTAGATACTAATTAATTAAAAAGTGTATTTTTTTTACTTCACATTTTACAAATATCAATAGTTAACTTTGAGGTTGGAGTCGAAAGAAATTTACTGACTCCACAACACTTGTTTCTCCTCCTATTTTTGAATGTCCACCACTTCCTCTTGAAGCATATTAAGTGGACCAAAACATTTTGTACTAATTTTGAGATGCTCTAAGACTTCGTAGTTTAAACTGTGCTGCTGTCTTTCAAAATTCAGAATCCTTTTGATTGGATTTGATCCCATGAGAAGGGTTTCAGGGATATTTGGCAACTATGTCATCAACTAGTGCACTACTGGTTTACCTATACTCTCATGTACTTGTATTTAGTAAGTAGAAGAAGCAAGATATAACTTGGCACAATGTTTGCCTACATCCTGTATATACAGTGTCTATACATATATAATAGCAGAAACTCAAATGTCAGTCTTTCATATAAACATACTTATACATTTTTAAATTTTCTTTATTACACTACCAAATAAAATCTTTGTAATAATGCTAGTGGTAACTTTTAAAAAATAAAACAAAATAATCAGTAACATTATTAAAAATAAAAACTTGTGATGTCATGGATTAATGAGAACCACATTATATAAATAATACACCATGGATTATCACGTATTTCAAATATACGATAATGGTATTTATTTATTTCCAGTCAACTTAAATTACAGATCTCAAAACTGTCCATAATATTACACATTATCTTTTTAAAATACAGAATTTTAACCGTTTATTTCTCCTCGTTAACAATGCTCATAGATATAATTACACACAAGTCCCGAAACTGGCCAGTTCGCAATTCGTTTGAATCGTCTTAAATCGCTAATCAAAATTAACTTAAATTAAACTAAAACTAATGTTACTTAGGTTAAAGAAAGATTGTTAGAAGAGGATCCCTTTTCTTTGTCTAGCAAGTTGGGCAATTTGCAATGTCTGTCACAGTTAATTGAGAGGATACAACCTGACCACATGGACACCTTTCTATGAGACAAAATATCCATATACGAATCCTCCTTTATGTCTCAATAGCACCAGTTCTCTAACACAACTTCTCTGAATCTCTGTTGACCTGAGTCTTCCTCGGGTTCCTTCCTGGTCGTCTCACTCTTCACCTTTGTCAAAAAAGAAAAACCCTTTGAGCCCAAAACTCGCCAGAAAATGCACATAGGTTGGAAAAGTCAAACATGAATAGGGAAAATAGTGCATGTTAATTAGGTAGATGAAGAGATCACAGATAACTTAGAAGGTCAATTAATAAAACATTATATATATATGATACACCACAAACTAATTACAGACTTTTTTAATACTATTTTAATAAAACTAATTTAATACTTAAATAAGGAAATATATTATTTAGTGAGCTATTAATTAATTTAAAGTTTATATTATTTTTAACAAAACATTAAAATAGGTTCGTGCAGTCTGTGGAGAAACCTACATGATTAATCAAGATGAAGAACTTTGGGAAAAAGAGCTGTCACCAAATGTTGAATCACTTTTGTTGGCTCATTACGATCCGTTAGCCGATCGTGGACGGTGGTCAGATAAACATTCTGCTGCTTCTGCTTCCTCCAGAGATAAAACAAGAGTAATAACTTTTCGTGTGCCACATAATGCAGCAATTCAGATATATGATTATAAAGGGAAAAAAGCACGGTAAGTTGAAAATTTCATAATAATACAGCAAGCCATTATAATTAAGTTTTTATTCAATTTCTAAATTATTTCATATTTAAATTATGAATTAAATGTATTTCAATTTGTTTAGAATAATATACAGTACTGAATATATTACACAAAAATTGTTCATAATTTTTATATATTACGTTTTCAAAATAGTGTGGTTTTTGGTCCAGATTTGGTTATGTTAGGACCAGACGAACAGTTTACACAACTAAGTTTATCAGGTGGCAAGCCAAAAAAGCCTAATGTGATTCGGTCTTTGTGCCTTCTTCTGGGACCAGATTTTTGTACTGATGTCATCACTGTTGAAACAGCTGACCATGCTCGCTTACAACTTCAGCTTGCATATAATTGGTAAAAATTTCAGATAATTGTATAAGAAAATTTGAATAGTTTTTTGATACTTTGATTTGATTTAAATTAAGAATATAATTGTTTTTAAATAATTGAAAATAATTTTATGTCAATAATTATTATGTTATTCATTATTTAGGCACTTTGATGTAAGCCAAAAGGATGAAGCGACAGCTTCTAAATTGTTTGCGGTTCCAGATTTTATTGGTGATCTTTGTAAAGCCGTAGCATCTCGCATTAGAGGAGCTGTAGCATCAACTAATTTCGACGACTTTCATAAGGTTAGTAATTATTGTTGATTCTCCATTTTAGTAATTTTGAGAATTCAATAACATTTTATGGAATTGTTAAACAGAATTCTGCTACAATCATCAGAGCTGCAGTTTTTGGCTATGATTCTGATAGAAAGATCAGAAATAGATTAATCTTTCCACAGAATAATTTAGTAATAACTAGTGTAGATATACAAAGTGTAGAACCTGTAGATCAGCGAACTAGGGATTCTCTTCAAAAATCAGTACAACTTGCAATTGAGATAACAACACAAAGTCAAGAAGCAGCTGCCAGGTAACATAAAAATGATGATAAAATGCTTAATTAAATGTATACTTTTTTGTTTATTAATATTTTACATACTTTATAGACATGAAGCAGAAAGAAGAGAACAGGAAGCCAGAGGAAAATTGGAAAGACAAAGAATTTCCGATGAAGTAGAATCTGAACGAAGTCGTAAGGATCTCTTAGAATTACAGGCAGCTAGCATGGCAGTAGAAAGCTGTGGACAGGCAAAGGCAGAAGCGAAAAGCAAAGCCGAAGCCCAGAGAATTGAAGCAGAAACAGCTGTTGAACAAGCTAAATTGAAAGTTGATGCTATGACAATTGAAGCAGTATGAAACTTTTATGTTCCTTTTAATAGTTTTTCATTTATTGTAATACAGTAGAGCCTCGATTATCCGACCCCCGATTAACCGCCACCTCGGTTAACTGACCGTCCTAGTCGGCAAATTTCAAATGTCCGCTAATGATGTGGCGCTACAATATTTGGCTATGTCTTGGCTACTTTAATATTATTTTTACGTGTTTTAGCTGGCAACACTCATTCGACCATGAAAGGGAGCCAGTATTTAAACGAGGCTTAATTTTCTAATTTTTAACGAT